TCTTTCTTCCTTCCTCTCTCTCTCTCATCCTTTCTCTCTTCTCTCTCTCTCCCTTTCTTCTCTTCTCTCTCCTGTTCTATCTCTCTCTCTTCTTGCCCTTCTCTCTTCTCTTCTCTTACACTTCTCTCCTTCTCTCTCTCCCTTCCTTCTTTCTCTCTCTCTCTTCTCCTTTCTCTCCTTCCCTCTCTCTCTCTCTTCTCCTTCTCTCTCTCTCTTCTCCTTCTCTTCTTCTCTCTTCTCCTTTCCTCTCTCGTCTTCTCCTTCTCTCTCTCTATCTCTCTCTCTCTTTCTCTCTCTCCTCTTCTCCTTCTCTTCTCTCTCTTCTCTCTCTCTCTCCTCCTCTCTCTCCTCTCTCTCTCTCTCTCTCTCTTCCTCACTGCCTTAGCGTTGCATGACATTCCCGTTGCAACATCAGCAAGAGTGCCAAGGAGACTTCACCAGCCGCCCTCTAATTTCTCGAGTTTCGATCCTTCGGAAACCTTTCCTCTCTCTCTCTCTCTCTCTCTCTCTCTCTCTCTCTCTCCTCTCTCTCTCTCTCTCTCTCTCTCTCTCTCTCTCTCTCTCTCTCTCTCTCTCACACACACACACACACACACACACACACACACACACACACACACCACACACACACACACACACACACACACACACACACACACCACACACACAGTCACGCAATCACTTTAATCACTCACCAACCCACCCCACCCAAACAACTCAACTCACCCATCCATCAACCCACTTTACTAACTTACTAGCTTACTCACTCTCTCTTCACACACACACACACACACACACACACACACACACACACACACACACACACACACACACAACACACACACACACACACACACTCTCTCTCTCTCTCTCTCTCTCTCTCTCTCTCTCTCTCTCTCTCTCTCTCTCTCTCTCTCTCTCTCTCTCTCTCTCTCTTTTTTTCAGTGTTTGAATTAATGGCCGCTGCTTACTGGGTGGTCTCTTCCAATTATCCGACCAGCAATAAACCGCTTGCCACTTTAATTAAACCCGAAAATATGGGTCACGGTGGGAAAAAAAAGGCTTGGGGAATTGTTGTTAACCGAAGCAAAATACCCCTAAAATACCGATGCCCATCCTCTCGCTTTCTCTCTCCGTTCTCTCTCTCTCTCTCCTCTCTCTTCTTTTCTTGTTTTTCTTCGTCTTCTTCACCTCTTTCTCATCCTTGGAAAACTCTCTCTCTCCTCTCTCTTCTCTCTCTCTCTCTCTCTCTCTCTCTCTCTCTCTCTCTCTCTCTCTCTCTCTCTCTCTCTCCTTTCATTTTATTTCCTCTCCTTCCTCTCCTCCCCTCCCTCTCCTCCCCTCTCAAATAGCGCTAGCGTCTGTGCGTATTCTTGTTGTGCTTTCGTTGCAGGCACTATTGCACGTCGGTTCGGGTCGCGGTCGAGTGACATTTAACTGCGAAAGTCGAGCAACTGTGAACACCGAGACCGAGCGGGATGGGGCGACAGCAGCACTCTGAGCGGGATGGGGCGACAACAGCACTCTGAGGGGCGGGATGGGCGACAACAGCACTCTGAGGGGCGAACAGCACTCTGAGGGCGGATGGGGCGACAACAGCACTCTGAGGGGCGGGATGGGCGACAAACAGCACTCTGAGGGGCGGGATGGGGCGACAACAGCACTCTGAGGGGCGGGATGGGGCGACAACAGCACTCTGAGGGGGCTCTGAGGGCGCAACAACAGCACTCTGAGGGCGCGACAACAGGAGGGGCGGGATGGGGCGACAACAGCACTCTGAGGGGCGGGAGGGGACAACAGCACTCTGAGGGGCGGGATGGGGCGACAACAGCCCTGACGGCCAACAGCACTCCGGGATGGGCCACGGACGCACATTTGGACAGACTGCCTGGTCGACTGACTGACCGAGACAGACAGGCACAAGACGGATAGGAAGCAGAGAATCATATGGACAGACAGATAGGCTGACAGAGAAAGAAAGAAAGACACAAAAAAACAAACAAACATACAGACAGACAAAACAAACAAGACAAACGAGCAAGACAAACTGAGCTTGAACTTGAACGGGAACTTCCACGTCTGAAACCCCACGGCAGCTGATCCGGACCACGCCCCTCCGAAACCTGCCTCGCGCCGCACTCTCCGCTCAGAGTGGGCGAGAGGAGCACGGAAGGGTCGGGCCGCGGCGATCCAGAGAACTTTCCTGGGACTTGACGTCAGTCAGGGGCCAAATTTAGACAATACGAAAAGGGAGGGAGGGAAGGAGAGAAAGAAAGAGGAAGAGACAAAAGGAGAGGTGAGGAGGGAGAGAGGGAGAGGGAAATGGAATGGGAAAGGGAAAAGGGAGAAAGGGAGAAACAGAGCGAGACAGACAGACAGACAGACAGACAGACAGAGAGAGAGAAAGAGAGAGAGAGAGAAAGAGAGAGAAACAGAGATAGAGAGAAAAAAAACAGACAGAGAAAGACAGACAGACAAAGCGAGAGACCTTCGTCCCTCCCCCAAACAAGAGTGAAAGTAAAAAGCCTCCCCCCCCCCCCCGCTCTCCGCATACGAATAACTCCGCGCGTGTCCTTTAACCCTTTCACCCCCACCCCTCCCCTCCCCTCCCCCCAAACACCGTCCCATCTCGCAAGACTGGCAATGACCCCGTTGAAATAACCCACTTCAGACCCTCCTGCCGCGCTACCACACTGCCTTACATCACAGAAAAATGGAACGTTTTCTCCTATCTTCACTCCTTTTCTTCTTCTCCTTCCTCTCCTTACCTTATTCGACGTCGATTTCTACCGATTCTTGCGGTTCCTCCTGTTCCTCTACCTTCTCTACTCTACTCTTGTCCCCCTCACCTCTCCTCCAATCCTCCTCCTCTTTGTTCTTCTTGTTCTTGTTTTGTTCTTGTTGTTGTTCTTCTTCTCCTCCTCCTCCTCCTCTTCTTTTCTTCTTCTCCTCTTCCCTTTTCATCATGCCATTAATCGCACGCTGTGCCATTTTAGCCAACCGCAAAGAACCTCGACCGCCGTTAACGCATGGCAAGCGGACCAAACGCGTCAACGGAAATCATTCGAGACCTTAGTTCGATGTCTTTGTTGTTGTTGTTGTTGTCGTTGTTGATACTGATGTTGTTGTTGTTGCCGTTTGCTCGTTTGTGTTTCTGTTATCTCGTTGCTTTTCGTTCGCTTGTTTAGTTATTTGTTGTTCCCTAATTTGCGTTTGTGTTCCTTTCTGTTGCCTGTTGTTTGTGTTTGTTGTTGTTCCCTTGTTTCTGCGTTTGTTCTCCTTCTGTTGCCAGCTGGATTTACAGACCGTCCTCAGAGGCAGGGCGGAATGCAATTAAAAGGTCATTAAAGAAAGAGAAGTAAAAATCTTTGAAGCGAAAGAGAAAAGGTGTTAGATATATGAGAACGCATCTGACAGAGTGGGAGTGAAAAGAGAATGAAGAAATGAAGATAGATATTATCAAATGCGAGAGCGAGAGAGAGAGAGAGCGGAGAGAGAGAGAGGAGAGAGAGAGAGAGAGAGAGAGAGAGAGAGGAGAGAGAGGAGAGAGAGACGAGAGAGAGGAGAGAGAGAGAGAGAGAGAGAGAGAGGAGAAGGAGACAAACAGAGCCGAGCGAGCGAGGAAAAGGGAGTAAAAGAGCGAGAAAAAGAAAAACATTCATATGCTATAAATACACGGGGAGAAGACAGGTGCGAAAGAAGACAGGGTAGGGTGGGCGCGGGCGAGCCAGGACGAACCAGACAGGGCGGCGCGGGCGGGTCGAGGAACCTGTTGGACAGCGAGCGTGGGCGGACCAGAAGGGGAGAGAGGGGGAGGGAGGGAACGGAGGGAGGAGGAAGAGGGAGAAGGGAGGGAGGAAAAGAGAGGGAGGAGGAGAGAGGGAAGGGAGGAAAGAGAGACGGAGGGAGAGAGGGAGGGGAGGGAAAGAGAGACGGAGGGAGAGAGGGAGATATGGAAGGGAGGAAGAAGAGAGGGATTGAGGAGAAGGACGGAGAGGAGCAGGAAGAGAGGGAAGGGAACGGAGGGAGGAGGAGGAAGAGAGGGGGAAGGGAAGAGGGAGAAAGGGAAGGAGGGAGGAGGAGGAAGAGAAGGAAGAGAACAGATGGAGGAGACGGAGGAGGGGCAAAGGAAAGGATGATGACAGACCCACCCAACGACCGACCGACAGACACAAGAGATAAATCATTCAATTGCAAAAACAAAGAAGCGAAAGCGTACAAGGCGGAGAAGCGAGCGAGTGAGCGAGCTAGCGTGCGTGCGTGCGTGTGTGCGTGCAAACAAGCGAGCGAACCACAACGGCCGCCTGCCTACGTTCGCCCCACCGCTATTTTCATCCCACACGTCACGGCGGGGCTAAGACGCACCTTGAGGCTACTCCCGGTCACCTCAGGACATCGCAGTGCAAGAAAGAGTGGTCCGGGGGGCGTGAAGTCGTCCGGCTGAGTGGTGGAGCGGCAGAGTAGTAGGAAGGATAAAGCACTGGCGTGGAGGAGGTAGTTCACCAAGGGTGGGGAGATTAGGTGAAGATGCTGGGCAGCAGGAAGATAGACGATGCGATGATTTTATAGAGATTGGCGGC